TTTGTCAGGATGCGTTTAAATCTGGGTCCACTGTGTTAATCACCCCCCATTCTTCTTTCTGGCACTTACCCTCCAGGCTATTTGCCTCTTTAGGAGATTAAGCGACCAAGTCATCTTGTTGCTCTAACATGTCCTCACTGGAGCAACATATTAACACAATTCCTCTGCAAAAGAGCCCTCTTTAGAAGTTTGCTGCAGGGATGACAAATTAACCCAGCATGGTGTCCCACACATCTATCTCAGTACAAATTATTAGTGTAATAGAGCTTTTAGTTATGCATTTATCTAGTAATTATTGAACGGTTATACAAAACGAAGCTGAGCAATCATGGCCCTTTATGAGGCAATCTCAGTGGGTGGCCTTACAGTTAATTTAGGATAGGACTGTCTAAGCAGTTCACTCGCACACAAATTAGCCGAACAGCCTGCTCCTTTAAATATTTCCTATGTCACAGGCTAACTCTTTACAATACAACAAAGGTAGAGTTTTAATTACACGGTTCCTGACTTTTGTTTAGCTGAAGCTTTAACCATTTGCAAGCCTTCCTCCCAGTCCTCCCCTGCCTGGGATATGGCAGTGGATGGGAGATTGGGCAGGGCATCCAGTAATTACTAAGCCCTGACCTTGAGGCCATCTGTTAGGAAACTGCTTTTCTTTCAGATTGCTCTTGCTTCGAAGTGAGGGAATGGAGAGAATCAAAACCTACACCTACGTGCTCAGTTAAAGCCAGGTGAGCCCTCCCTGTATCCTGACACTAACCTAGAGTGTGACTTGGCAATGGGCTGGGTTAGCTAATCTTTTGGTCAGTGGGATGCTATTTGGGGTTCTACTCCACTGCCGCACACATTCCTACCCTTGTGCCTCGGCTCCCTCCTCTTTGGTTGTCTTATATTAACATCCCTTGATCTGAGGTGTCCGTATCAGAATGGACTTCCACTGCTCTCTTCTTGTCCAAATGCAAATGAAAGTATAGAAGGCTGCTAAAGTCTGGCAGCTTTGAGGGCAGCCCTCAAATAATATGCAACGTGATATAAACAACTGTATATTAAAAAATGTCCTTTTGTATAGTCTTGGAATTAGCAGAAATTATCGTCTTGGTACGTGTGAAGTTGCCTGACAGGACAGCTAACAGCTACTGATATTTTTGATATTTTGGTGACCCAAGTGAGAATTTTGACAAAGAAGGGCACAATGTCTTCCCAGATTTTTGACAAGTTTCTGCCATGGAGGCACTAACAGAGAGCATCAACCTGTCAAATTTCCCTGGTAGACCTCATCCTGATAAAAATCTCAGTGGTTATGCTTATTATGGAGGAGATTACTGTAAAGGAAACCACTCCTCTAGTTGACTTTCATCCCTTCTTCTCTTTCTGCTCACACGCCTAATTACTTGGGTTTTTCCCTTTGTGCTGAATTTCTTGTCTTGTAACTGTGTTTCTCCTTCATTTATCTTCCTAACATACCATCTCATTCCTTTTTTTTTTTCTTTGCCTTTTCTTCCTTGCTTTTTGGCTTGCAGTATCTATGTTGTCATATTCTGTGGAAATGCATGAATGCTCCAGAGCACAGGCTGCTGTATATCCCAGATTTACAAGATCGTGGTTTAATTTAATGTTTCAGCCAGCTCCAGATACAAAGTCACTAGAGTGCAAGTAGCAATGCACGGAAACCTAAAATCACTTACGTTAATAATAATACTGCCACCTGTAGAATTTAAATACTTCACTGTCCAGTAAAGAGTTCAAGCAGGCTGAAGCTGATGCTGGAAAACTTTGTGTGAGGCCAGCAGAAGATGATGGCTTTGCAGTACTGGAGTGCTGAGGTGAGAAACAGCGGCCACCAGATCATCTATCTTGAAGGTATCAGAAGTACACTGCGTAGGAGAAAGCGATCTCTCTGCTCGAATTTTCAAGGCTTTGAAATACATTCTAAAACTGATAGCAGTGCTAAAGCCACCCTATAGGTGATCCATTTACCATCTGCCAGGCACTGAATCCTAACCATGCTGGTCCAGAGAAGACATATGGTGCATTCATAGAGTCATGCCCAAAAAACTGCCATCATCAAGTGAGGCTCCATGAATCACTTTGCTAGCTTAGCACCAAAGAAACTTGGATCTTACCACCATCTGTTGGAACTACTGAGGAGTCACTGAAGCATTGGCATCCATGCGCCAGCACTCACTGCACATCTGGTCCTATGGTCAGCCAGCTCAGATCCTCTCTGCTGGCTACTGCCCAGCTGGGCTGAGTACTGGCAGCAGCACCAATGCAGACAGGAAACTAGTGTACAGCCTTCCACAACACAGTGCAGTGCAGACGATTTCATGAGAACAGAGGTTTTCCAGCTGGTTCGTTGAATGGAGCATTTTACAGCAAAGAAATTCTCTTAATGATCTACGTTTTCTCCAAGTTTAGTTCCCGAGGTGGCTCACTGTGCGGATCACTGGGAAGGGCACTCCAGGATCCTGGGATATCCCCAGTGCTAAGATGTGCACTTTGTTCTACGACATGTTTGCAAGCGTGTGAAAGATTCAGGAATATTCCTGAGAAGTTACAAATCACTGGTTGTCAATGACAACACCTGCCATGAATAGTCCACAGCTTCTTCTCTGCCATCTAAGCTGATCGTGCTTTACAAATGCATCTCATATACACATCCAAGTGATAAACTTGCACAGACAAACATCAGAAGATTGAACCTTCTCGTAATCAGTCAGTTGGCTGAGGAGCTTACTCTGATGGTGACCTACTTATTCATGACTTTCCTTTCTCTGACATGCAGAGAATCTCTGCAGAATGAGGATTAAATCCAGCTTTCATCTTCCTGAAGACAACGCAGAATGACCTGTCATCAAGCGTTTACGTAATGCATATGCAGCCAAAGAGGAAGCAACATATGTGCACTACATTATTCCTATCATTACTGTAAAATCTACAAGTTCCAATAACTGATGGTGGATGTGAATTGCCCAAAGATGATATCCTCTTATATGATTGCGTTATGCTCCTTATGTTGCCACTTTTGATACCTGAAAAGCTTCTCTCTTCTGCTTACTGGCCTAAAGTACACTGAAGGGAATGGGATAAAGAACAAAGCTGGATTTGCAGAAAATAATCCACCTCAGCATATTACCCTCTACTAACAGAATGACTGTGGTTGAAGTGAAGTAAACACAGCCAATGTGCTGTGGAAGAAGAATACTGAAGAGACTCGTCCAGCAAAGACCAAAGAATGAGGTCTGGATCAAGATTTTTCAAGGATAATGACATTGAAAGAATTCCTGGACAGATTCAGAGACATTTTTCCTGAAAGCTGTGAAGACTTTTTTTGGTGAATAAGCATAAAATAGAAGAAGATACTCCTAACTGATGCTGCAGAAGAACATTATTGCTTAACCTATTAGGAAGAGTGATCATCAGAAAATACGTTACTTTTCTATGGAGACATCTCCTTCCAAGCAAACTGAATTTGTCAAAAAGATTCATCGTATCTGCTCTTTCACATTCTGGCAGTCTTGAAAGTTCTTCTCACGTAGCTGATCGGTATTCCCAGGTGCACAGAAAGTCTTGTGAAAACAGACCGTGGATGAGGCTTAAACAAGACCTCACCAGTGACACGTTTCCTCCCTGAATCACACAAAAATCCAAAATAGGGAGGGCCTAAATACTTACAAAGGCATTTAATGAGTGAGGTAAAACATAGCCAAATACAGAAAGGACCTATTAACTAATCAATTGACAATTCAAATCTAAAACGCTGAACTTCTAAAAGAGAGGAATTCAACGTCAGCTGATGTGCACCGAATATATTGTTAATGGAACATTCATATTATTCATACTTGTATCACCAATTATCAAGGCTTTTAAAAGACGATATATTTGCCAGATAACTCAGATCCACATTCCATGGGAAATCTGCATAGATCTTGGATGCCTAAATTCCTTCTGAGGGGCTAGGTGTGTCTCTCTCAAGATAATTAATTATCATGGGATTAACCACAATAAATCAAACTACATTAAGTAGGTTTCGCAAAGTCCTAATAACCGTGAGGTGCAATTCTGACCTCACTTCAACTTAGCGCAGCGCTACTGCTTCGCACCACATCACCTGGCACTGCGTAAAAAGGCTACTTGTGGTTCATGTTGTCCTCAGTAAAATCACACTTATGCCAAGGAGACCTTTCAAAACAATTTCTAGCAGGAATTGCTAATACGTTTTTTTATGCTTCACCATTCGACCAATTCCTTAATCTTCTCTAAACGAGACAAAATTCCATATCAGAAAGAAACATGCCACAGCCATTCACATCTATTTTTATATCTTCCAAAGAGGTTTGTAAGAAGATTCATTCATTTTTGTATGTTACTATGCCCAAGTGTCTTCCTTTTCAAATGTGAGCTGAGTACCGCATTTTGTTTTCTAGGTTAATGCAAATGCACCTTTCTAACAAAAATGTATAAGCACATCTGGACCCAGAGGACAGTCCTGTTACTTGAAAAGCAAGACGGAAGAGAACTATGAAGAAAACCAGCCAAAATATTGCAGGAACCAACTTCAAAGCAGTCCACTAATAAGGCAGTTCTTCAGCACACCAACACCAACAGCACGAGCACCAAATGACTTGCAGCAACAAAGCGAGAGTGTTGGAAGATAGGCATGGCTCAGAAGTGACTGATGAGTCCCTGTCTCGAGCAGCTACACAAGCAGAAGATACTCTACCTTCCCCACCCTCTTCAAATAAAAACCTGCAGCCCCCAGAAACCTGCATTTCCACCTTTGCAACTGCTGAACTGTCACCAGGAGTTGTACCAAACATCCCAGCCTCGCAAAACCAACCGGCCTCGACAACGACAACCTCCAGGTTCTGGAGCTCTGGAAGCACAGCCTAGCACTGAGTGTGTCACACGTGGCGATGACTTTCTGTGGCAAAGCTCTGGGACGCCGGGTGCTGTGGCTAATGTTTAAGCTGCCTGGGGGCTCTTGGGTTAAGCCTCACCTCTGGGTCCTGTAATGACAGGTCGATGGTGCTGTGTGAAAGCCGTTCCAAGGGAGGAGGTCTGCGAAGGCGAGGGACTGCTGAAACCAGACTTCTCTGACTTCTTTAATGCAGTTGGCGATGGCATTCCTGGCAAGAATGATTGATAAGTGCAATTTAATAATGCTAGGTCATGGAACGACAGCCTATGCATTGTGAAAGTGGGTGCAGAAGCAGCTAGATAAACTTAAAGGACAAACGAAATTGAATACAACAGCAAGCTGAAAGCTCACTTTTATTTATGGGATTTTTTGAGGCAGAAGTGGCCATGGTTTGCTGTGAGCAATGAGTACTAGAAGGCAGCCATATTTTTCTTTTAAATCTGAAATATGGATAAGATGCAGCTTATTATTGCTACTGAAACCTACTCTGCTTTATTTTTAGAAATCTGTAATAGCTGGAGCATTTGGATTTTTACAGGCTTTTTATGAGTTCTGTCTTTCACTTATGGTTCAATAGATTATTGCAAATGGATCTTTTAAATGTGCTGCAAGACTCAATGCACAACTCGAGAGTGAAGTTTTCTGAGTCCAAACCCTGCCATTCCTTATTCTGTTGACTTCAAAGGTATTTGAAAGTAATATATTTATGTGGTTTCCTTTTGCTTTCAAAAATTTTTAAAGGGTGAATGGTATTTGTGTTTTGATATTAGAAGCCACAGCGGAATTATTTCAGTTGTTATACTGCCTTGAACTATACCAAAGGCTTCCAATGAAAGGTAGAGTTAAGCTGCCAGTGGGTGAAACCTCTCCCACGGACAGGCAGAAATGGTGCAATGCTGCTCTGACTGTTCTGTTACACTCTCTGAGATCAACTTCTGCTGATATGACACCAATCTTGTGGCCCTTTTGGCTTCCACGTGGTACCAAATAAATTAATGGAATGAATATTGAGGCTCTGAAATCAGAGATTTTTTTTTTTTTTAAGTGTGATTTATGCTTAGATAAAAGAACATTGCAGCACATAGTTGAGGACGTATGTGTGTCCATATTATTAACTTTATTTTTATAGATATAGAAGCATATGGATATTCTCATTATCTGCACGTACTCTGAAAATAGATAATTTCCAATACGTACAGTACATCACACATTTTGCATATCCATAAGGATGTAGCAAAACAAAGTTGCAGAACTGTTGGGGGTCTCAGGTTAGAAAGCAAAAACTAAGATAACGTGGAAGTTGAACTTCCACCAGCAAAGCCACTCAACCTACTCTGTATTTTATAGAATTTAATTGTTAAAAATGGAAGAGAAAGGTCTGGACAATATTATCTCTGGACAGTATCATTAACTTTATATTTAATAACACTAGCTTTATAGTCCCTGGGACGTTGATTGCAATAAGCAGGAGCCTTCTTGTTCTTTATACACTGCTCTGCTGGGGTCTTAATGGTTTCAGTGAGGTTTTGCAGTTTATATTTCAGGAAGTTAAATAGTAAGGGAGTGGTTAGAGCTCCAGCGCTGTAATTACAGCTTTCTGTCTTGAAACTGTTTGCTACAAGGGTTTGCTGTTGTGAGGCTTGTTTCCTCACAGCAAGAGAAGTCAGATATATAATCTTTTAAAAATAAGAGTTTGAAATGGACAGAGATAAGAAAAATGCCAGGTTGGTTCATTTCACATTGCTCTAAAAGATTTTGGGGTAGGGACAAAAGCAGGAGAGTTGGTTCAGTTTGGGGCAAGTGAGAAAAGGAGGCTGAGCTAAGCTGTCTTCAGTGACATATTCCATTAGCTGTAATGAACTTCTGCTCACATGGCACATTGGCATTTAACTTTGTGGCTGCTCTTTTTTTTTGAGCATTCACATCCAGGACAAGGACACTCAAAAGAAATAAGGGTGATGTTGACCCTGATGTCCTTACAGTGGCGGAACTGGGGGAGGGAAACAGTAAACGGGTGCCACCCCACCTCTAAACACAAAATCAATGGGCAGTGGCAATATCTGTGCTCCTGGTGGTGGAGGAGCTGGGCTGCTGTGCTAAAAACCTGCCTGCATCTGAACCACGGCCTGGGGAAGGGGCAGGGAGATGTGGCCAAAAGCTGCAACACGTTTACGTGAATGCATCCAAACACTGAAACTTGAGGCACTGCAACAACAGTGGTGGATGACCTTGAAGTACGGCAGCGCTGAGCAGGGCTGGGAAGGGCTTTCGTAGGGTTGGGGCAGCAGCTGTCATAGGAAAATAGAGATTTTGATGTAACGCTACGTTGTGAAATGGAGCAGACATGCAAACTGAAGCACTGATTATTGGTTCCTACTTTTATTACATTTGTTTGTTATCATTTGTTCTGATTGCCATCGTTATTACTGTTGCTTTTTTTTTATTTTAATTTATTTCAGGATATTCTGAAATGTGTTGCTTTGGAACAGGCCAACTCTATCATGTTTTCATTTTGTTTGAGGTTTGTAATGACACATTTTATTGTGAGTGATCATATCCATCAGATCTCAAGAAAAAAATGGCTGCTTCCTAGTTCAGAAGAATATGCAAACAGGAGCTTAATTACATCACTTAATATTGACCAAGAGAAAGAAGAAGTTGAGCTTGCCAGCTCATTTCTAAAGCATGTTTTGTCCTTTAAGAGGGGAGGGTATGACAGAAAGTTAGGCAGTGCAAAGCAATTAGCATCATTCACATTTTATGTTGCGCTAGCATGGTGCTCTAGCAGCAAAATTCAAACATTCTTTGAATGGGTTAATAAAAGAAGAAATACAGTCGGCATGCAAGAGAAAGGTTTCCAAGAACAAGCCAAAATATGTCCCATTCTTCTAAATTTATCACAGCCATGTCACATTATCCTTGAGACTGCCAGGAATGTCAATTTTTTTGCAATTTTAAAAAAATATCTCATTTAGCACCATATGTTTGGTTAATGTGCCTGATATATCCTGCGTATTCTTTAGTCCATCCATTTCTAATACTCATTTTCTTTTTTCCCCCCTCACTGAGCCATATGTTACAACGCTGGTCATTCTATCGAAGCTCCTTTCAGGAGCTGGGAGCAAAAGCGAGCAAACTCGGGTTTAATCACCCAGAAAAATTTAAATCTGATTCTCCAGCTCTCGCTCTTAGGTAAGCAATCTCAACACTTCAGTTAGCTTTGTAGGTGCCCGGTGCCTATGGAAATCAGGCCACCTATGAGATACCGTGTTGTATATTAACAACTGTGAGGCAGGAACTAAATGGCTAAAGATAGAATTAGGTGTTTAATTTTTGGCACCCATGTATGAGACTCTTGGCTAGTTTTAAAGGTCTTCTGTTTCATACCTAATGAGTTTTAACACATTTAGTGGTCCCCAGCCCTCAGCTTCCCCTCCTGTGTTGCTCAGGGATGCAGGAAATTAAAAAGTTAAAGCTAGAGCTACCAAGGGCAGAGCCCAGGGAGGATGCTGCTGCCTTGCACCGCTTTCCTCAGCACTGTTCCCATGAGCTCACAAATACTGGGGACCACAGCATGGAAGACCAGGTTTCAGCACTCCACATGGTGGTGCCAACCTTTAAGGACACCTCGGAGGCCCAGTTCTCCTCTGCTTCCTCTCTGGTGCAGGGCAGCAACAAATTACTCTATCCCCAGCCCGTCTCAGCTGTGCTGGCCAGTGAAGAGGGAATGGAGCCAAGGATCCTCCCCATTCCCTGCCTCTTTCTATCCATCTGCTCTGAGCAAGGAATAAATGAGAACAGCCAGAACACAACGGCTGGGTGACCCAGGTGGGGTTTTCAAGTGTTCCTTACTGGTCTGCGCGTGGGACTGTTGTCCAAATCACAGTCACACCTGGCATTTTTGGGTAACATAATTTCACAATCCAGGTCTGACTCTCCTCCGAATGTTAGTTAGAATACAAGAAATGAAAATCAGAATTAGTCTGTTTTCATCTTATGGCAGCTTTTAACTACAGAATAAGTGGAAAAGTTAATTGCCAAATAAGAAAGAAAATGAGGGGATATGCGGCACGAAACACAGATGGAAGCCTGAGTGGGTGTGTTTCCTCAACTCACTGAAAGCATGCGATTGTATGAGTACATATATGCCAAACATATATGGTCTTAGCCTGCTCCCATTAACATGAATTGTTTTTTTTTTTTTAATGGACAGAGGGAGCCAGACCAAAGACCCTGATGGTGCTAAATGGAACAAGATGTACACTTTCGTATTTTTTTCCACAAGGAAATATTAATTTGACATTGGTTTTTCAGTTGAAAAGAATTTTAATTGCCGTACACAATAAGCAGAAAATTCAGACAACAATAATCTTGAAACTGTTAGCAGCATTATATTTCTATCAAGGAATTTGAGTGCCTTTTCAACATTAGAGCTTTCTGAATTTTCATTAATTTGGCATTTCCCTAAACACACAAGTTATTTGGTTCATTCCACATCATGCATCACACCCTTTTGCTCAATGCATAATGCAAGCGTAAATGGGATCCTTGTCCTTGAGAGACTCTGGTTACTGGAGCCATTGCACGGATGTTGAAGTCCCGCAGTAAGACTTTCCAAAACTCTGCACTTCGCAAACCTCCAGCCCAAGTTTAATCAGTGAGTGCCCACGAATACTCCATGTTCCTCATCTTCTAAGGGGGCACTGGAGCACTGTGGTGTTAATTCCTCTAGCTCCTTATGTCTGCCAGTACTAGAGATGTACCACATAAAAGTCTTCCTTGAGTACAGCTAAAGATCTTCAAATTTTCATGTATGATGCAGATATATATTTAAATGGATCAGAAAATGATGTGTGAGAATTGAATGCACCAATCCTTCCCAGAGCAAACAAATATCTATTAACCTACTTCCCATACAGCTACGCTCCTCACTAACGGAGGTACTGATGATGATTAACTTTGATGAAGTGAATGTAGTCATTACAGCGTAAGAGAAAAATTCCCCTCCTCTCCAAATCTATAGCTCTGTCTGTATCTATGTGCTCATCCAATTTCGCTTGTTAATTACTAACATTATTCTGACTATACACATCTTAAACAATAACTCCATATCAAGTCAGTCACACTGGTAGACAGCTAATATCCACCTCCAAAGACGACTGTTGGATAATTACCCCAATGCTCCCAGCAGTTCTCTGCCACTAGGCTCTTGATGGAGATTCAGAAACAACAAAAGCTATGAATGAAGTGTGACTTAGATCTTCATTCTCAAGGGACACTATAACAAGGAATCACAGAAGCTCAGATATCACCAGGTGGACCATGAACTCGACAACATGCAGAACAAAGAGATGATGCATAAAGACAAGTTGGCTGTTGAAGAAAAAGCTGATACGAGGGAAGAATTTTCCAAGGAATTTTCATCCTTCCGTGGAAATTATTCCGTCTATATCTGAAATAAGTATCAATAGAAACGGTGATTGGCTGCTTTTATTTTTCCTGGGGAAGTCTTAATTTCAAGTTTCTTGAACTTTGGATGGCTATGCTACTATCAGTCATAGCAAATCTGTTCTACTTATTGCTGAACGAGCTTTATTTGCCTTCAGCTGAGCTACAATCACACTAGCTGCCATCCATCAGTTTACTCTCTTAGTTGCTCCTGTATGTGCAAAATACAGTGCTGATAGAAATTCCCTCATTCTAATAAAGTGCTCTTTAGTTTCTATGTTTTGAACGTCTGCTTGCTCCTCTGGTCACACTCTGAGTTACCACGATCACTGATCAACTACCTGCCAGCGAGCACCTCACTTCACAAAGCAAAACCCAGCTTAATGAACAACGACTGCACAGAAGTAAAATGAAAGCTCCCATCTATCCACTTATCCAACTACTGCATATGCATCAGCAACACACACAACCAGTTTCCTCAGAACTCGACATCTGACAGATATCAGGAAAACAGAGCTAATCTATCCATACCCATCAACATCGTATCATAGGTGACTGCCAGATACTTAAGAAGCTATCCAAAAGAAATGTCACAACTCTTTTTCAAGACGCTACAAAAGAAATGTTCCAAATAAAATAAAGCAAATGCACGTACAAGTAAATGAGCCAAAGAACTTAATAAAAAGAGATTGATTAAAATGAGGACCAGAATGTTCAAAAAGGACTAGGAGAGAGAGGTGCCAAAGGCGCATTAAATGGATTCAATGGCTTTAGGCTTTAAACGCTTTTGGATTCCTCAGCAATTTTTAGCCAAAAATGATCATTCAAGTTAGAATCAGGATTCTGATGCCACTTAAGATAAAGAAGGGTGATATTTCTACTTTGTAAATGAGTACTCCTCCATTTACAAAGGAGAAGTATCAGTTTTACCTGTGATAAATCCTGTCTACAGAATGTGAAACTGCGTGATGCAACATTCATTATCATTTTAAACCTCTACCCCATTAAAATCTATGCTAAGCATTTTGGTGCAGTGTTCCCATAGAGTGTATATCTTATCTGTCTGTATCTGTGTTTACAGCATTATCTGGATTGTTTTTGGTGCTGTAAGTGAGCCTCCATCCCTGTCTTGTCATCCAAGGAACTCTTTCAATAGCTAATAAACTGGTACCAAACGTTTGACCAACGTCTTCAAAATATCACCTCACTGGAATTTTAAATTGGAGAATTTTAGTGAGAAGCATATCAAACAGCAAGATCACAGTTTGCTTCTCCCTCTAACTTCCATCACATTCCCATGTCATTTTCCATTTTGTAAATACATATTTTAATAAGAACAAAAACTGTTTTCTAATGACGTCCTTAAACTTCATGATGTCATTTAAAATTCATGATTCCATTTGTTTCATTTCAAATGCTGTTTGAGACTTTTTCAGCATAGTTGGCAGATTAGATATAACAGCGGGGACAAACTGCAGCCATCCATAGGAGAATACACCTTTATGTGGGTGCTTTGGGGATGGAACATCTATAGCTGTTAGGCAAAAAAATTCCATCGTAAATTTGGATGGCATTTACAAAGCCCTCTAAAAAGTCTTTGCATATGATTATAGCTGAGGTATGATATTTTTGCAAGTAAAAGACCCAGAATAGATTTATGTTTCAACTATATCTTCCTGAGATGCATATGGATTCTAAATTGCAAGTGATGTTAAAGGGAATTTTACTAACTGAAGAGGATCGAGTCAAATTTTATTTTTTTCCCCTGCAAAATCCTTTGCTCAATGTTTGCATGCCATCAAAAGATCATCTATCTATCCAGGCTATACATAACCACGATGGCTACTAAATGCCAAAGGCATGAGATGGAGATGGGCAAATATGTGGATTTTTCAGACTTGTGACCTCAGTTACTGCATGGTAATGTTTTGAAATGACTTTTATGATGACAAGACTAAGTTTGGTGCTAATATTGGTTTTGAACTTAATCGGTACACACAGCCACTGAACATATGTTTCAATTAATAAAAGGACTGTGGACAGGATTGAAAATAACTCAGATAACTTAACATGCACTGTAAAGTCACCTGATCTCTACACAATTTAAGGTGAAGAGTCTACACACTATTCCAAAGAATGAAATAGTTGCAAACTGAATTCATGTATCACACCAAGCTGAAATGGAGTTACAATTTGACAGGTCAAGAGTGTACTCATGGAACTATTATGTATTGCTACGCAGTGCCTTTGGGTGTTTTTATGATATGACTGCCCAGGTTTGACAGTCACAGGGCTGAACAGTCATCTCATTTCTCCATAACACAACAATTCATTTGGAGCTGATGTAGAGCTGCTGTGCTTTCACTGGGGGGTGCCCACAGCTGATGTATGTTGGCATGTGCCTCCTCCAATGGCACTGCAGGGCCACCACCAGCAACTCCCCAGCAAGACTCGGCAGCTCCCACTCAGCACAAACTTAACGGTTTCCCAACACATCAGTTCTCATACAGGTGATATCAGAGAGGGCAAAATCAGCCTCATTTTTTTTTTCCATATTTCCAATGGCTTTGGGATTCTGGGGGTAACAAGGAATCCCCCTGGAAAAAACTGGAATGTTCCTGTGGCCGAGGAGGCAAAGGTACAGCAGGGCGGCTTTGGCTTCACTTCTAGAGGAGCTGCTTGTGAGTTCTGCCCGACACCTTTACATCCACTGAGCAGCTGAAAACACATCTGACAGAGAACTCACAGGAAAACAGTCCCTACAAGTTCATGGAAACAGGCATGGAAAGGGCAGAGTAACACGTCCAGGCTCCCTCTGGGCTGTCGCTCTGGTAAAGTGCTCTCCTCCACCAGAGAACCCAAACAAGAGGGAAAGCTGGTACACCCCCCAACCACCCCAATGTCTGTGCACCCAGAACAAGAGCATTGGCATTGTTTGAATAGGCACACCCACCATGTAGTGCTCCGCGGTGTTCGGGGTTTCTTAGATATCCTAATTTTATAAAAGAAAGTAAAAGAAGAAAAAAGAAACAAGGTGAGAGAGAACACTATCATATTTTGTAGCAAGCAGGATACTGTGTGAAATCTTGGCCCAGTGAAGTGATAAAGGGGAAGCTTTCCGTTTGCTTAAGGGAAAACTTACGAGCAAATAGTAAAATTACCGAAATACCACATTGCAGAAAATGGGTGCATTTAGGCTCAATTAAGCTGTAAAAAGGAAAATGGCACTTTAGCTTACAAAAATGAAGGGACAGAGGGAGCTATCAGAAGTAACTTTACAAGATTTGTATGCATGAGGATGCTGCTTCACTGGACCAAGAAAGCTACAGTATGGGACAGGATTTTTCTTTAATAGACACTTTGCTAGATAGCTTTGTTGAGCCACAGAAACTGCTGCTCTGGCATTATGAAATAATCCTACATAACTCGATCTCATGAGCTTAGGAACACAGAAAAATAGCCATGCCAAATCAGATTACAGGGATCCACCTAGCCCGCTGTCCTCTCTCTGACAGCGGTAATTAATGGATGCCAAGGAAAGAGGAAGAGACCAGGGAAAGCACACAGTGATAATTCTCCAAAACTCTCTCCCAGCCTCCAACGATTTGTGTGATTCAAGGACTTCTAAGACAAAGTTGATACCGTGCTAGAGAAGGTACTCAAATCCAAATGCACAGATTTACACCCCCCGCCTCCCCTTTTTGGATTCCTACCCCCATGAGATTTCCACCCGTCACACAGGAGAGGTTTCACAGTTTGCTGCTGGCAAGTCCGGTGTTCTTGCCACTAACTCTAAATGAGCTAACAGCTTTCGAGCCCAACGATGTTATGTGTATAAGAGCATCCAACACTTTTTCCTACATAAAAAAGTGACATGTGTGCTGAGGTGCTCTGAGTGTATATACTTTGGGAGATAATATATTTTTTTTTTTTTTTAAACAAGAATTTGGCTGTAAATTGATATTAACATTTTCCAGTATATGTGTAAAACACATGTTTCAGAAGAATAGAAGAGAGAAACTGTCACTCACTGGGAAGCTTTAGAGCTATCTGGCTCCCTGGGAAACTGCATGCAACTATTCTTGTGTCCAAGGGTTTGACCAGTGAGTTTCCTCTTCCTGCAAAGAATGAATGCAGAAGTAATAGAAAGTCTGAGGGGGAGGATTTTAGCAAATGGCTAAAGATACTCCTGTGCTGCTAACTTCAGCAGGTAGGAAGAGGGTAGTGGTGGAAGAGACAGGGTGGGAAGGGAGAACCGCCTGCCTTCCCCTCCCAGCTGCCAGTAGAGAGAAGGGGCAGGGGACTGAGCTGGGAGAGCCTCGCACGCTTCAGCTCAGCCCTCTGAAATCCCTTTGTGCTTCTGCACTGATACGCAACGATGCCGACAGGTCAGCACAGTCCCAGCACTGCGCACAGCGTCAGGACGTTCTGCTCTGATTGCCCAGCTCTTGCTGTGACCGCCTTTCAGGATGGAGCACGGCTCACCGGCATGGCACAGCCTCCTTCGTGGCGTTATCACTGCTTGCAAAACCCCCTGCTCCTGGACACAAAAAGTGACTTCCCAGGCATCACTCTTATTTCACTGCCCATTTCTCTGGGGAGTTTCTGAAGTTTTCATTTTCTGATCAAATTGGTACCTATGCGTCAGTTTTTACTTTATTTGTAAAACGAATCAGTAAAACTGGGGACCTGAAGAAAGGCTTATCCTTTCATTTTTGATGGCATGTTGACTTGGTAAGATTCTAAAGGCATGCCTAACCTATTAGGGGGTCCCTATAACTTTCCTTAAAGCAAAAATTAGAAAGTGATCGAAAAGTTTTATAGAGGAGAGCAGAAATATAATTTTAAGCCTCTTAAAATTGCCTGAACTGTGAAATCAAGTAATGAACTAGAAAAGGATCTGTCAGCTGGAATCAAAGCTCTGACTAGTCAGCATTTTCTTCCTAAACCTTATTATGGTGAAGATTTTTCATCTCTGCGCTCCGTTCATCCCAACAAATAAACCGACTTGACCTCCACCTGTTACTTGGTGAAGTCTGCTGTCATCTTTGACTGAACCCTTTTCTTCCCCTTCAAAGCCCTCTGCACCACTGAGGAGGTGGGGAGACACAGCTGTGCATCGATTCAAGTGGATACCAGCTCATCACCAGACAGCGTTTCACAGCACAAATGACAAGCATCAGAGGAGAGAAAAATGTAGTGCCAATGAATTCTGGAAGGGGGCAACATTTTTCATCAATTTAACAATGAGATTTCATAGAAAGAAGTTTTTGTGTGTGTATGCGTGTGATATTATGAACTAGCACTGGAGGCAAAAACATTTTGCTTCTGCTGTAGCAACGAACCTACGCTAACACCGCGGATGGAGAGCTGCAGAAAAGAGTGGGACCTATCTGTGCTTCTCTTAGATTGCATGAGTGAATTGCATTAGCTATTTCAAGGAGGTTCAGCTCCAAATGCGTGCAGTTTTCTGGACTTGGAAGCAAGTTGTGGCTTTAAAACGTAACATGGCTAAATAAAACAAACGTACATTACAGAACATAGCACAGCGAGACTGGTCATGAGGAAAACTGAACAGCAATCATTTCTTCAAATATATCATCATGACACAACCATGCAAGTAGCTTTCTAATACAAAGACATATCAGAAAAAGCCATTTCATATAAAGTTGGACTTCTCTGGGTGATTAATGCTACATCCAACAAAGGAGACAGTGTCTGTCTAATTACATTAAATACTTATCTTCTAGGGATTGGCAGGGTGTTTCTGCTCAATGTCACTTTTCATGACAATGTAATGATAGATCCGTTTACTTACCAGTGCCATTAGCAAAAATTGTACTGTTTTCTCAACTGCCCTCATATCACAAAAATATTTGATTAACACACTGTAGCTTATCTAATACTCTAAGCAACATATTCCGCATAGTTTTCTCTCTATTAAAAGAACAAGATTACAGCTTGTAAAATTTTTATTGCACTCACACAAAAATAAATGAATAATGTGCGATACACTTCAAGTATCTCACTGTTTCTCAAAATGGGTTTATTTAATTTTAAATATTAACTTGTGCTTTAAACATCAGGATTTGGGGGGAAAAACTAGCAAACAAAGTACTCTGAGGTACAGCTTCCCATGCAACGTTTAGTTATTATTTCCTTTATGTATCAACAAGTCTTTTGAAACTTTAAAATACCTTGGGAGGAAAGAAACAAAAATGCCTCATTCCTTTGCTGAAAAATAGATAGGGCCACCTCCCAAGTATTTGGAATTCACTGCATCGTGAACTGACTCCTCACAGTCACCCCACCGTGCCAACATACAGAGAACAATAACCTCTGGAAGAATGCACACAGCTAAGGCAGTTTATATAGTAACAAGGTAATTTCATAACCTTATATTGAAAAGAAGGGCTGTGAGGTAACATCCTCGCAATATATATCAGCTACCTGATTTTTACTAACAAGGTTAAACTGCTATCTGTTTGTCTCAGCACTCTTCATAATTCACTTTTTAATGGATGGACAGGAAAAGTTAGCAGTGTATGGCACAGATCATTTTAGAAATAGGACAAGACAGCTCAGGGCAGGATCTGAACATGCTCCTTCTTTCCATAGGATCACATCAAAAGTCTATCCTTAGCCATAATTCCCATCTACTCCTGGATCTTCTGAGGGGTAGATTTCTAGATTTTCTATCAAAGTTAAATGGCAAATTCAAGAAAGAAGGAATCCTTTGATTCTTCTTCGTTTGAGAAGGAGGTGTCACCATCAAATGGCCCCAGGTTGAATGGCCAGCTTCCCACCATGATGCTCCATATGTGTGCAGAAGGCACATGGGCAGCAGCTCCACTCCTGGAGGAGCCAAGAACATCAACCCCATTTTGGTACAGCACTGCATGCTGCCACAAAATGGTAGCACACAAACTGGCCTCCATTAGGTCTAACTCAGTACAGCAACGTGGGGTTAATTAACACTGGCCTTAAATCCCACACAAGGATGACACCGCTCTCAACCTCCCCATATGCTCCCCCAAAATAATAGCGGATTTAGGATATTCGTTCCCTTAGCTGCAAGGGTTTGGGGTGTGCCTGCAATTATCTGGAGATAAGTCTGACACGCATTATCCTTCTATCAATGACATTCCCCTTAGTAGCCAACAGATTATCAGCAGCTTTGTGATATTCCAGGTGTCAAAGAAGAATTAAAAACCACAACAATTGCCCAAACAAAGGGACAAAAGATGGGATACGTGTTTCTGAGCCCTGCATATCAATTTAATATGTGCAGCTGACAATGATGCAAATGTCCTCGGGAGAGAGGCAGCAAGATCCGTGCCCAAACATACACACACCACCGTCAGCAAGATGGCAGGGAACAGAAGCAGTAGGATTCCCAGCCCAGGACACATGCCTCAGCAGGCAGAGCAACCCAATGAAACAATCCTCTGGTTGAGGAGAATTTTGGAAGCACCTGATATGGAAAAGGGCCCTAAACAAGCCAGATGGTACTTTTCGCTGGCAGCAGAAAGTAGGAGACAGCCAAAAACATTACAGCATTTCCCCAAGAGGCCAGCAGATCGATTTTTAACCATTTTTTTTTTAAAGCGACGCTATCAATATAAAAAAAATAATGCTTCTGTGCATTTCTGAAAGTCTGATTTTATGAATCACTCACTTAAGGAGGCAACAACTGGAAGAGATGAGAAAGGAATGGACTCCCACTTTCCTGGGGTGGTTGCATATTCCACATTGCATTTCTATTCAGTTGCTGCCACTGTTTACTCTGAATTAAGTGCCAGTTTTTGTTCAGGGTTTTCCACTTAACATTAAAGAGAAAAAAAATCTGTAAAAGTAGAGAACGGGCACAATGGTTCTTATGACACGGGAGAAACACTGTTTGTAAGGCTGCTTTGCCCTCTTTGTCCCCCACAAATTACTGGGTTTCTAGATGATCATTTTTTAACAGAGGGCAAACATTTATTTACTACCTACAAGTTCCCATTTGGCTGGGGATTTGCATAAGAAATACAGCTGTTTTGGGGATCTTTTAATTTTTAAAAGCTCCAAATGGCCAGAATTGGCAATTCTGCCTGGATTACAGGACTGCTTTCAGGACTCATTTTGACGTCAGATGTTGAACCTTTACTTTGACAGTCCCAAGCAGTTTCTTGAACAGCACATTCAGATTCTGTGCGGCCAAGTGGTTTGCACTCGAGGAATGGAAAAGGCATGTAGGTTGCATGAGCTGAAAGGGCCCAGAGAGACAGAGGAGCTGTGAAGCAAGAGGACAACCAGCGCCCTTTGTTTCAAACACACACCTCATGTTGAGGATTGGCCAAGCTCAGAGAAGAGTCAGGATGATGCCTTACTTTCCTTTGTCACTATTTTAGTTCAGAGCAAAGGCAAACCCCAACACAGGGTTAAATCTGGACTACATCCAAAGTGCTTTCTCCTGCTTGGAGCACAGTGGTGCATTAGCGTACTGCATTACAGATAAAACTCCTGGAGACAAACGTGGGCTGTTGTAATAAAATGGGACGTTACTCTGAGTACAAAGAAAGATAATCCATACATTCACAATTTCTCCAATCTCACTCATTGCAAATCCTTCCTTTTAAAATACAAGGTATTTCCTTCCTACAGGTGGAACCTAAGATTTTGCCTCCAGCCCTTTCTGATTTGAACAGTCCCACTCTTTTCAGCACTGCTGTTGGACGTGAGGATGCAGATGCCACCTCATTTCGTTGGCTCTTTGGAGTTCAAAGATCTTAAAGCAAATCCCAGTGAACCAAACGAAGACTGCGCACAAAACTTCAAAACACAGCCTATAATTTTCTAGTTAATTTTAGCTACAGGATCTCTTGTGTTATGCTTTTTGGTGTATATCACACTAAAAATAGCATCAAGCACTGATGTAAGAGGAGAGCAGGAGGAATGATCTCACCAGGGCTGCAGGCCCAGAAAGAGCAGCATGGGCAAGCAGAGGTGGGATATGCTATGCAAACTTACCTGCCTCTAACAAGACCTCAGTGAGCACAGAAGAAAGCTGTAGTCAGTATGCACACGAGATAGAGAGCACGAAGATTTTGTGGAGCTGGAAACCAAAGAGTCACTT